ATATAGAAGATAATTCTGTCCATGGAAATCGCAGCCCTGTGCCATGAATGACCGCGTCATGGCTGTCTGAGTGAATGTATAGAGGATATTATTTGCCAATGTGCTCCGACATGAAGAAACTTGCAATGTTTTGCACTTTAGTTAAATTTAATCCCCTCAGCTCCCACAGGGGCCAACAACAAATACTGTAAACAAGTAATGTCAGGAACAGAATTAAAAGTATAGTCAATTCACTAATGTTTCATTTAATATGGTTTCTGTGAACTCTACCAGACTGTGGTATACTGTGTATTTTCCCAAGTTTCTGATAGGTGAGAAAATGTAGGACAACACCTAGAAATAGATATACAGCAGATATATAACAATATGGATCCCATGTATGTATTGCACGATTTTTTAATTTAATGTCATGAAATGTAAGAGTTCGTTTTGTCAGACTGGTTGTCACATGTTTTGGGTTCTGTCTGGTTTTGAATTTCCCTTTAAGTGCCAGGCTATTGCACAGTACTTTGCCTGGCTTGTCCAGCTCGTAGGGGGGGGGGGTTAACATTTACATGGTTTTATTACAGAAGATTGAAGATGTCATAAAATCAGTGCAATAAGATAAAGCCTTACAGTGAACCTATCCAGGTTCGTTTTATCTACAATCCCTCCATAAGCAATCACACAGATAAATAGCACATTTTCTATTAAGCGTCTACTTATCTTCCCTGCAATGCTGCTATGCGCCTGGATCCAGGATCCCGATTCCTACCTACATCCCTACCCACACAACACAAGTGGGCCTGCTTGGGCCACCACCCCCATAACCTCAACATGGGGCTTTATTGTCTGAGAATCTCTTGCTGTGATGTAGATCTGGAGAATTTAGAATGTACTGGTAAAGAAATTACCATATTTTAATAGTCTTTTTGTTTGTTTGTTTTTTTATCTATATATTTGATAGTACATGACATTGTTTGTTTTTATACTCTTTTATTAGAGTATTAATAAGTGTATCCATGGCAGATAGTTGTTAATGTCTTTATTTAAAAGACTGAAACACAGTTGAAGTTCTTAATGGTCATTAATGAAGTGTGTATACAGCCGTCAGCAACAATGTATTCTAAGGAATACGTTTTCTAAGTATGTAAAGCCGTTTAGGGCGAGTGGATTTCCCTGTGAATTATTGCTGGTGAGCCTGGTTTGCTGATTGTCTATTGATCAGAGGGAAACCTCTCCTTATGATTGTGTTGAAATTTATGGATCGATAGAATATGTGCTTTAATACACTGTCACCCAAGCACCCATCACCAACCTCTCTCCATCCTCGCCCCACACAAGCCTGCCGTGGCTCGATATTAATTAAAGGAGACATGTTAATCTACACGGATGTAGAGTCACAATGAATCCTCCCTATTATGTGCAAACCATCGGGGGGCAATTCACCAAGAGCGCTGTTAATTTCACTTTCTCCAACCATTGATTCTACATGTATATCTGGACGACATCAGCCTGAGGTCAATGCTCATTAGCCCATCTATCTAGTAAAATGCTTCTTTTCGGCTAATTCCTTGTAAATGTTCTGACTTGTTTTAACCCTATACAAGCTTTGCACTCCTTGATCTGTTCAGGTGGTAGGCAGTATCAAAGTATGCATTGCTATGGGGGGTATGGCTGTATGCCCTGCTATGGGGGGTATGGCTGTATGCATTGCAATGGGGGGTATGGCTGTATGCATTGCTATGGGGGGGTATGGCTGTATGCATTGCTATGGGGGATGGTGTATACATTGCTCTGGGAGGTATGGCTGTATGCATTGCTATGGGTGGTATGGTGTATGCATTGCTATGGGGGGTATGGCTGTATGCATTGCTATGGGGGGGTATGGCTGTATGCATTGCTATGGGGGGGTATGGCTGTATGCATTGCTATGGGGGGTATGGTGTATACATTGCTATGGGGGGTATGGTGTATACATTGCTATGGAGGGGGGGGGTATGGTGTATACATTGCTATGGGGGATATGGCTGTATCGGATATATTTTTGTTTTTTGCTCCAGAAGTAGAGCAGGAAGCTGATAATACCAGCTGTTTATGGTACCTCATCGGTTATAGTATTGAGATTTGTGGCTCACAAATGCGCTGATGTCCCATCCAGTTTAAACTCTTGGCTCTAGTGCTGAAACAAGTGGGAAGATTTATCATGTTCTATCAGAAAATTAGAACCACTAAAATGTCCCGTTCGTCAGACAGTGTTGGACCAGAAATATCTCTATCCACTAGAATGTGCCGGCCTGTTCTGCCCCACCTTAAGTTTGTGTCACTTTTCTAATGACAACACTTAGATCAATCTCCCTCACAGTCTACGTTCGCTCATGCCCATTCTAGAGTTTTTGTCCCAAGAACAAAAAAACATACATAGATATTCACTAAACCAGGACTTAGCACGCACATTTCACATTTCAGAAATTCCCAAGTCTCACCGTTTAATAAATAACTCCTTAATCCATTCTCTCAATTTGAAAGATTTGTCTGTAGAAGTTAAATAGTTGGTTTCCATTCTTTCCCTTTACCTCTCCATTCCTGAATTCCACCCACCATCATCAAGTTCATTCTTTACTCAATTATCATTTAAACAAGAACACGAGATCGACTTGTGTATTTATTACTTTGTCTTTTGTAGCATAGTTAATTCACAAAATCGATAAATAATATATTTGCATATATTTAAAATATGCACATTTGTAAGATTGCTGTTGTGATTTTACACATAAAGCTATGGTTTGTGTTTACAAAGTGGATTTCTTTCCTTATTGAGTTTGATATAAATATTACATGGTCGTTTCGACAGTGCTTACATGGGAATTTTCTGTGAAATAGACTGTGTTTCTGCACGAATCTTTGTTTGAGTATAATTTCTGGTGTTGTGTATTCTCCCAATTGTTACTTTCTGTTCATTTAATAAAAGCCAATTAACCTAAACCAGGATTGTGTGTTTTTTTTAGTTGACATCTTGACGGGAATTATGGGAATCTATCATTAATTCAGAGCTATCTAAATAAAAATCTCTACAGTATGGGGTTGATTCTAATGGAAAAAGTTAATATTTTCTGTTTGATCCATATTTAGACTTGGGTTGTTTGGTTATCATTTCCAAAGGTGAGTGCACGTAACGACCTGAACTTGGGAGAGTATTGGCAATGTGTCATCAGGACTCTGCGCTCGTATTGCACCGTCTGTGTCTTAAGGACTCCGAACTCTTATCGTATTGTCAGTGTGTCATCTGGACTTTGCACTCTTATCGTATTGACTGTACCATCAGGACTCTGCACTCATATTGTACCGTCTGTGTCTTCAGGACTCTGTACTTATATCGTATTGTCAGTGTGTCATCTGGACTTTGCGCTCGTATCATATAGGCAGTGTCATCTGGACTCAGCACTTGTATCGTATTGATTGTACCATCAGGACTCTGTACTTATATCGTATTGTCAGTGTGTCATCGGGACTCTGCACTCGTATTGTCAGTGTGTCATCAGGATTCTGCACTAGTATTGTATTGTCACTGTGTCATCGAGACTCTGCACTCATATCGTATTGTCTGTGTCATCAGGACTCTGCACTCGTATCGTACTGTCTGTACCATCAGGACTCTGTACTCATATCGTATTGTCAGTGTGTCATCGGGACTCTGCACTCGTATCGTATTGTCTGTACCATCAGGACTCTGTACTCATATCGTATTGTCAGTGTGTCATCGGGACGCTGCACTCGTATTGTATTAATAAAAAAGAGGAGTGAGACAGCGCTAAGTAACTATAGGCAGCTACCTTAAAAGGGAATCCCTCAAACCCTTTAAAACAAGATACAATTAAAACAATAAAAGGCTGCGCACAAAAAATAAATAGAGTCCAATAAAAATAAAATAAAGAAAGTCCAATTGGTATGTTCTTACTGGTGTCCTTGATTGGTGAGGTCTTCTATTTATTGTGGTGGTTTCACTTAATAAAAGATAAAAAGAGAAAAAGAGGGACAACCAATGGTGTAGTATGTAAAATTCGAGTCTAGAGGTAAAAATAATGGTATAAAACTCACATTTACCAGAGCTAATGTCCAGCTCTGGAGTGAAGCGCGTACAGCGGTTTAATCCCCGCTTGTGGGATATAGGGCAGGTTCCTCTCCGTGAATGGTATCCAATTCTCGAGATAAAACAAACAGCCAATAGTGCTCACTGTATGGCAGATAATGATAAAATAATAAAAGAAATGTACTTACAAAGTGAGAGCAGACGCACTGCTCTTTGATGATAGCTTGGGTGGATTGATCCCCACCTACGGATTTCTTTGGGTACAGGAAACTTCTGTACTAGTATTGTATTGTCTGTACCATCAGGACTCTGTACTCGTATCGTATTGGCGTGTGTCATTGGGACTCTGCACTCGTATCATACTGTCTGTATCATCAGGACTCTACAATCGTATCGTATTGTCAGTGTGTCATCAGGACTCTGCACTCGTATAATACTGTCTGTATCATCAGGACTCTGCACTCGTAGAGTGTTGGCAGTGTGTCATCGGGACTCTGCACTCGTATTGTCAGTGTGTCATCGGGATTCTGTACTTGTATCGTATTGTCAGTGTCTCGTTGGGACTCTGTACTTGTATTGTATTGTCTGTACCATCAGGACTCAGTACTCGTATCGTATTGGCGTGTGTCATCAGGACTCTGCACTCGTATCGTACTGTCTGTATCATCAGGACTCTGCACTCGTATCGTGTTGGCAGTGTGTCATCAGGACTCTGCACTCGTATTGTATTGTCAGTGTCATCGGGATTCTGTATTTGTATTGTATTGTCAGTGTGTCATTGGGATTCTGTACTTGTATTGAATTGTCAGTGTGTCATCGGGATTCTGTACTTGTATCATATTGTCTGTATCATACTGCATTGCTATGGGGGGTATGGTGTATACATTGCTATGGGGGGTATGGTGTATACATTGCTATGGAGGGGGGGGGTATGGTGTATACATTGCTATGGGGGATATGGCTGTATCGGATATATTTTTGTTTTTTGCTCCAGAAGTAGAGCAGGAAGCTGATAATACCAGCTGTTTATGGTACCTCATCGGTTATAGTATTGAGATTTGTGGCTCACAAATGCGCTGATGTCCCATCCAGTTTAAACTCTTGGCTCTAGTGCTGAAACAAGTGGGAAGATTTATCATGTTCTATCAGAAAATTAGAACCACTAAAATGTCCCGTTCGTCAGACAGTGTTGGACCAGAAATATCTCTATCCACTAGAATGTGCCGGCCTGTTCTGCCCCACCTTAAGTTTGTGTCACTTTTCTAATGACAACACTTAGATCAATCTCCCTCACAGTCTACGTTCGCTCATGCCCATTCTAGAGTTTTTGTCCCAAGAACAAAAAAACATACATAGATATTCACTAAACCAGGACTTAGCACGCACATTTCACATTTCAGAAATTCCCAAGTCTCACCGTTTAATAAATAACTCCTTAATCCATTCTCTCAATTTGAAAGATTTGTCTGTAGAAGTTAAATAGTTGGTTTCCATTCTTTCCCTTTACCTCTCCATTCCTGAATTCCACCCACCATCATCAAGTTCATTCTTTACTCAATTATCATTTAAACAAGAACACGAGATCGACTTGTGTATTTATTACTTTGTCTTTTGTAGCATAGTTAATTCACAAAATCGATAAATAATATATTTGCATATATTTAAAATATGCACATTTGTAAGATTGCTGTTGTGATTTTACACATAAAGCTATGGTTTGTGTTTACAAAGTGGATTTCTTTCCTTATTGAGTTTGATATAAATATTACATGGTCGTTTCGACAGTGCTTACATGGGAATTTTCTGTGAAATAGACTGTGTTTCTGCACGAATCTTTGTTTGAGTATAATTTCTGGTGTTGTGTATTCTCCCAATTGTTACTTTCTGTTCATTTAATAAAAGCCAATTAACCTAAACCAGGATTGTGTGTTTTTTTTAGTTGACATCTTGACGGGAATTATGGGAATCTATCATTAATTCAGAGCTATCTAAATAAAAATCTCTACAGTATGGGGTTGATTCTAATGGAAAAAGTTAATATTTTCTGTTTGATCCATATTTAGACTTGGGTTGTTTGGTTATCATTTCCAAAGGTGAGTGCACGTAACGACCTGAACTTGGGAGAGTATTGGCAATGTGCCATCAGGACTCTGCGCTCGTATTGCACCGTCTGTGTCTTAAGGACTCCGAACTCTTATCGTATTGTCAGTGTGTCATCTGGACTTTGCACTCTTATCGTATTGACTGTACCATCAGGACTCTGCACTCATATTGTACCGTCTGTGTCTTCAGGACTCTGTACTTATATCGTATTGTCAGTGTGTCATCTGGACTTTGCGCTCGTATCATATAGGCAGTGTCATCTGGACTCAGCACTTGTATCGTATTGATTGTACCATCAGGACTCTGTACTTCTATCGTATTGTCAGTGTGTCATCGGGACTCTGCACTCGTATTGTCAGTGTGTCATCAGGATTCTGCACTAGTATTGTATTGTCACTGTGTCATCGAGACTCTGCACTCATATCGTATTGTCTGTGTCATCAGGACTCTGCACTCGTATCGTACTGTCTGTACCATCAGGACTCTGTACTCATATCGTATTGTCAGTGTGTCATCGGGACTCTGCACTCGTATCGTATTGTCTGTACCATCAGGACTCTGTACTCATATCGTATTGTCAGTGTGTCATCGGGACGCTGCACTCGTATTGTATTAATAAAAAAGAGGAGTGAGACAGCGCTAAGTAACTATAGGCAGCTACCTTAAAAGGGAATCCCTCAAACCCTTTAAAACAAGATACAATTAAAACAATAAAAGGCTGCGCACAAAAAATAAATAGAGTCCAATAAAAATAAAATAAAGAAAGTCCAATTGGTATGTTCTTACTGGTGTCCTTGATTGGTGAGGTCTTCTATTTATTGTGGTGGTTTCACTTAATAAAAGATAAAAAGAGAAAAAGAGGGACAACCAATGGTGTAGTATGTAAAATTCGAGTCTAGAGGTAAAAATAATGGTATAAAACTCACATTTACCAGAGCTAATGTCCAGCTCTGGAGTGAAGCGCGTACAGCGGTTTAATCCCCGCTTGTGGGATATAGGGCAGGTTCCTCTCCGTGAATGGTATCCAATTCTCGAGATAAAACAAACAGCCAATAGTGCTCACTGTATGGCAGATAATGATAAAATAATAAAAGAAATGTACTTACAAAGTGAGAGCAGACGCACTGCTCTTTGATGATAGCTTGGGTGGATTGATCCCCACCTACGGATTTCTTTGGGTACAGGAAACTTCTGTACTAGTATTGTATTGTCTGTACCATCAGGACTCTGTACTCGTATCGTATTGGCGTGTGTCATTGGGACTCTGCACTCGTATCATACTGTCTGTATCATCAGGACTCTACAATCGTATCGTATTGTCAGTGTGTCATCAGGACTCTGCACTCGTATAATACTGTCTGTATCATCAGGACTCTGCACTCGTAGAGTGTTGGCAGTGTGTCATCGGGACTCTGCACTCGTATTGTCAGTGTGTCATCGGGATTCTGTACTTGTATCGTATTGTCAGTGTCTCGTTGGGACTCTGTACTTGTATTGTATTGTCTGTACCATCAGGACTCAGTACTCGTATCGTATTGGCGTGTGTCATCAGGACTCTGCACTCGTATCGTACTGTCTGTATCATCAGGACTCTGCACTCGTATCGTGTTGGCAGTGTGTCATCAGGACTCTGCACTCGTATTGTATTGTCAGTGTCATCGGGATTCTGTATTTGTATTGTATTGTCAGTGTGTCATTGGGATTCTGTACTTGTATTGAATTGTCAGTGTGTCATCGGGATTCTGTACTTGTATCATATTGTCTGTATCATACTGTCTGTATCATCAGGACTCTGCACTGCATTTGATAGACTGGAAAAAATCCTGGCAGTTGTGGTTCTACAACATCTGTAAAACATACGCACAACTTGCCTCACGCACAGAACCTAGCAGTGAAAGTAAGGACAAGAGCTGGTCCGGTGATTGTTGCCATGGCAATGTGCACCAAATAAGTATCATTATAGGGATTATACACTAAACACAGAATTATATTCATTTTGCAATATTTAAATAAAAATAACCGCGCTGTGAGTGTAGCCGATAATAGAGGATTTTTTTCAAATTACCGGTTTGTTTTAAAAGTAAACTTAAAATTTGAGGTAAAAATAGCCAAACTTAAAATATAAGTGACTTGGAAAATGTATTCATTTCAGCTATATTTGGTGTAAACGTTTAATTTTCCTTGAATTTCCAGTGCAATAAACCCTTAAAAGGACACTATAGTCACCATAACAACTACAGCTGAATGTAGTGGTACTGGTGTCTTTACCCTGTCCCTGCAGGCATTTTCATGTAAAAGACTGTGTTTACATTGCAGTCATTCAGACGGCCACTAGAGGTGCTTTATGGGTCAGTGCTGAACGTTCCAAATACAGATGCATTGATTCAATGCAGCTCTATGAGGAGATGCTGATTGGTCTAGTGTGGCATTTTGCAGTGCATGCGCGATAGCCTTAGCTTGGCTGACATCATCAAGTTTGATGATCTCAACCAAGTGGGTGGAACAGGGGTGGAGCCAGCAGAAAGGAGACCCATGCAGTGCTTTAAAAAAGGTGAGTAAAAACACTTTTAACCAGAGGTAAGGGGTGCCTTGGGCCTATGTTTGTATGTCTCATAGTGTTTCTTTAAATCACTTCAAGCTGATGTTTTGACTTGTGATTGAGCTGGTTCCTAAAGCCGACATTGCAGGACAGAGAATAAGGATCCCTAAACATGAATCTAACATTATACGTTCACACTGCCCCTGACACAATCTGAATTCACATTTGAAAATATAGTAGAAATCATCAAATTAACAGCACATTTTGTCAGTAAAAGTCAGGACCGGGTTAGAAAAGGAATGGGTTACACAATGGTGAATTATGACATCGAACCCATGTCGCCTGGCATCCAGTACTTACCGCTATTAGCGATACAAGCTCGATGTCATATCTCAGAACCCCATAGCAATAAGGTGTTCACCTGGCACTGACTTAATATAAAAAAATTAGAATATAATGTGAATAGAGCCGGATGTACAGTGTTTTGTGACCGGGTCACTTCAATAAACGTGCCTTTAATGCTAAAACGAGTTGATTGAGAGCAGAATTCAGTGCTCTGATGGCTATAGATGATCAGTATTTATTTATTACAATCTGGTTTTAGGAGCAAATCCAGCGCAGTCACGGCAGGGACACAGATTCAGGGGAGGTGTGACTGTGACACGACTGTTAATCAATACGTAGCAAGCTGCTGACTTCAAGCAGCGCAGTATGATTAATCTTACTTTAGGTGAAACACGGGTTAATTCATGTGAAATTAACGGAACATTTGCCTAAAAATAGTCAATTCGTTACCATATTGCACAGAGTAAAGTTCTGGCAGGATTTGAATAAACAGAAGTTTTACCATAAAGTTGTTAAATCCATTTCTATTAAAAGTGTAAATTGATTATTTCGTTGGACACTTCAGAGGGTGAAAACAAACATGTCGCTGGCAGGACTCATGCATGGAGCTCACTTTAATGCTCAATTAATGCTGTTTTTAAAGGGACATGCATCACTTGGCAATTCATTTTTTAAACCATTTTTTAGACCTTTAAACAAATCTACAAATAAATAAAGCAGGAAAACCTTTGAAACGGATGTGATAATGTTTACAAACTTGCATTAAACTTGATCAGATTGTATTGTTAGGGCACACCTCTCAGTAAGGGGAGTTTCTTCACACCGTCCCGCCAACCTCTGTTTGAGACCAGTACACAGAAACAGGGCATTTTTGTGTAGTAAAAACTCAACACCAGATGATGCTCTGCATGAACAAGTCTGATAAGTACAGCGCTACGGAAATTGATGGTGCTTTATAAATAATAATTGTGTGAGGGGCAAATAAGGCCATAAAGGAAATAAAAGGAGACAATAAGTTGGTTGTGGTGTGCCGTAACCGACGTAGTGGTAGGCCTGTAATAAAAGAGGGCCCATCCATGAGGTGTAATGAAAAGTATAAATAGAGGGAGTGGAGGGTGGGGACATGCGAATATGTACCGGGCGGAGGAAGGTGAATAGGGGGTTTAAGTAGGTTAACATGCCCCTCCCACAACTGCAGACCAAACCTTTACATTTGTGTGAGGGGCAAATAAGGCCGTAAAGGAAATAAAAGGGGGGAATAAGTCGGTTGTGGTGTGCCGGAACCGACGTAGTGGTAGGCCTGTAATAAAAGAGGGCAAAAAATAGATACCTGTTGAAAACAATCAACAAAACCTTAAATAGCCTAGCTGAATGGTAAAAGCCGAGCGAGTAATTAGGTGCCCGGCACTTTAAACGGAACTCTAACTAGTGCAAGGGGAAGTAAGGTATATTAAACATGTTGGCCATCTAGTGTGGGGTAGAGAAGGTAATCAATAGACTGCATAAATAGGTGAGATTTCCTGAGACAATGCTGCAAGATGACGCTGTGACTGTGGAAAATATGTGGGACCACAAGAAACTGTGAAAGCAGGTATAGCGGCTACACAACTAGACTACATAGTTACCTAGCTGAAAAAATAAAGAGACTAGCGTCCCCCAATTCCGGCCTACCTCACATTTGTGATTAAACGGTTGATCCAAAAGAAGGAGAAAAACCCAGTTTGAAGCGCTTTCCAATTTGCAACAAGCTAGGGAAAAAATCTTTCTTGACCCCAGAATGGCAGTCGGATTTTTCCTTGGATCAGGCAGATATCGCCCTACATTGAAGGTTGATGCCCGGTTCATGATGACAGGCTTTAAATAGGTCTGATAGTGATTGAAATACTTGGATGTTGATGGGAAGTCCGGATATTGAAAATTCCCAGAACC